GACAAATAGGTTTTTAAATTTTTTTATAAAGACTCTCTCTCTCCCTCCATCATTTCCTTCTTCCTTTTATATTCTTCTAAATTTTGCTAGAGAGCTGCTATTCTTGCCTTATTGGAGAGAGATAGAGAAAGAGACAGAGAAAATGAGAAAGCTCCCCTCATGGGGCATGGTCATGCTGCAATCCCTTCTCCTCCATTTTCCTTCTTTTAGAAATCTTGGTCATATGTACACATGCTGGCAAGTTTTTCAACCCACTGGCCCAAGACTTGAACTGTGCTGTGGGCCATAAAAGGATCTAGTCATCCTAGCTATCCTGGCGCTGACTAGTCAGTCTTTCTTCTCTTCCATGACTTTGTATAGGCTTTGGGAAGAGAAGACGGAACAATTCAGTATCTTTTTTTTTTTAAGGAGAAAGATTTTTTGCTATAGGGCATGTGCACTTGCGGAGAGAGAGAAAGACCGAGAGATAGAAAGAAAGAAATCACCCATCCTCGGAGTTAGGGGTCGTGGGGGGTATGGTCATGCCAGACTACCTACTCCTCCATTGTCCTCTTGGGATTTTGGGCATGCACACAGGTGCCAACGTGTTTCAAGCCTCCGGGTCTGGGACTAGAACCCTCAATAGAACATGTGGGAGTCTAGCGATATAACCATTAGGCCATCTGCTGGTCTCAGTACTACTTTTTTTTTTTTAAACTCACAGAAAAGAGTGACTGGGAGACAGACGTTTTGAATTTTGGGTTCTGGTGCTTGCCAGACTTGCCCTGTATGCCCCAGCTCTCCAGCTTGTGAAATGTCAAGGCTGAAAAGGGTTTCTGAGGTTCCTGCCCTCTCCTACTTCCTGGGTGCTTACGTAATGAAATACTAGTCAGACAATAAAAACAGCAGCCACCTTCGTTGCCTTCAAGATCCAGGCATTTGCCATTTTACCCAACCCTGCCGGCTTGTTTTTGTCATCCTTACTTTATGCATGAGGAAACTGAGGCACTGTGAGTTTAGGTAATTTAGTCCAGGGTCACTCAAGAGTAAGTTATTGAGTTGGGATTCAAAGCTATCAAGTTCCAAACCTGGAGCTCTTAAATCACTTCTGCTGTCCATACTGCCTGTGACAAGGGTTGGCACTCAGGCCAAGAGGTATTCTTGTGAAGATTATTAGTAATGTTATTTTTTAAAAATACATAACCCCAACGTGGTGTGTCTACACTCGCTCTGGACTTTCACAGCAATTACATCAAGGGGTCGGTACTATCACCCCCATTGCGTGGATGGGGAAAATGAGATTCAGAGAGGCGAAGTAAATACCTCAAGGTCACACAGCTGGCAAACGGCAGGGATTCGAAGCCAGGGAGTCTGCCTGCAGCCCCAGCCTGGGCAGCTCAGTCTCCAGGCCGGCGCAGGCCAGGCGGGCCAGACCAGGTGAGCGCAGGCGGGGCGGCGCCCGCCCGGCAGCCGGCGGCTCGAACGGGAC